AGAGAGAGAGAGAGAGAGAGAGAGAGAGAGAGAGAGAGAGAGAGAGAAACCGTGACACAGTTGAAACTTGGAAAAAATTAGCATTATATTCTCTTTTGTGACTGTGACTCATGTGTCCTCTTGCCTATATCCTGTCCTTCCTCACTGCCTGTTCTTTTACCTGTGTTCTGTTTTTTTCTCATCACCTGTCCTTTGGCCTGTACTCTGTCCTTTGTCATCACCTAAGATTACCATCTCTTGCTCTTCCTTCTAAATGCTGTACTATCCCCACACTCAGACTGCTGACAGAAACCCCTTAGGGGCTAGGATTAGCTTATGAAGAGCATGCGGTGAGATGGTTTTAAAGTGAGAAAAAAGAAAAAGGACTTGGCACTCAGATCCTCAGAAGCAAGTTGCTTCTGGAAGGTCTAGAGAATATCTTCCGGAGGTGCTAAATGGGATCTGCCACTCTGGGAAACCCGAGGGTAAGTCCTGTCCTGATGCTTTCCTATTTGGCACAGCCCCTCCCTGACAATACCCAGCAAGCATGGTTGTGTGGCTCCCAGACTTTCTGTGCAGCACACCAGCCAAATCAGAGACCCGCATCAACAGGTCTCCCAAGCACTCCCTTTTTACTTCTTTTTTTTTTTTTTTAATATTTTTTTTCCTTTGAGACAGAGTAGTCCTGGCTGGCCTGGAATCTACTAGGTTGGACTAGAACTCAGAAATCTGACAACTTGTGCTTCTCAAGTATTGGGATTAAAGAAGTGTTTTTAAAAGTTGTCATGATGCTGGTGGTGGTGGTGGCTGTCCTGGAACTTTTTCTGTAGACCAGGCTATCCTGGAATTCAGAACTCTACCTGGCTCTGCCTCCCAAGTCCTAGGTTTAAAGGCCTGTGCCCCCACCACTACCATCAGTCTCCTTTCTACTTTCATGTCTTTTTATTTATTTTTTATTTTTTTATTTTTTTTGGTTTTTCGAGACAAGGTTTCTCTGTATAGCCCAGGCTGTCCTGGAACTCACTCTGTAGACCAGGCTGGCCTCGAACTCAGAAATCCTCCTGCCTCTGCCTCCCAAGTACTGGGATTAAAGGCATGCACCACCACCGCCCAGCCCTTTTTATTCTTATAACTTGTTGTGCATGGGAATTCCTTCCCTGGGGAGACACAATAAACGACTTCCCTATGAGGCCCCAGCAATAGCACCAAGGATGGTTTTACTAGAGTCTAGCTTAGGTAACCAATAAGTTTATTAGACTTGCTTACTGTGCATGAGTGATGGATTGTTTCCAGGAGTGTGAGTGACCCCAAAGCAGCCACACCACCATTAAGTCTCACCTCTGCATGGATGACAACTTTCCCACAATGCATAGATGGAATCCCTCTTCAGTTAATCATCCAAGACCTGTATGCTCTATCACCTCCCAAGACCATGAGGCATGCAGTCAGGGCAGAATTATATACAAATGTCTAGGAGGTATAAAAGGAAGCAGCCAGAAACTCGGGTGAGGGTCCAATGACCCAGCCCACCCAATTCTTCTATGGGGGAAGACTAACAGTCACCAGATGACGGATTAAGGGATTCTTTACAGTCTCCCTCTCTCAGTGACTATGAACTGCCACTCAGGGAGTGATGAGGCCTTATGAGTCCCTCTCGCCTCCCTTTGTTCTTCATGGAAGACACTTTTCAAGAACTTACTCTATGAAATGAGAATACCATAGTTGTATGTTGATGATTGTAATAAGCTGAAAATAGCTAGACCTGGTGACGTACACCTTTGATCCCAGCACGTAGAAGGCAGAGGTAGGCATATCTGTCTACATTTGAGGCCACCCTGGTCTGCATAACAAGTTCCAGGCCAGTGAGGGCTACATAGTGAGACTCTGTGTCAAAAGATTGTTTAAGCCCAAATAGAAAATGACAGAAGTGCCAGGTGGTGGTGGTGCTCGCCTTTAATCCCAGCACTTGGGAGGCAGAGGCAGGAGGATTTCTGAGTTCGAGGCCAGCCTGGTCTACAGTTTGAGTTCCAGGACAGCCAGGGCTATAAAGAGAAACCCTGTCTCAAAAAAAAAAAAGAAAAGAAAAGAAAAAGAAAAAGAAAAGAAAATGACAGAAGCAAAACACTACAGCAGATCTTAAGTTTTCTGCATGAACCAGGTGGCTCCTAGATCCCTCTTTGCAAAGGTTGGTGTAGAGAGCCAACCATAGGTCTCAGGCCCTCCAAGACAGTTTGTGTGTTAACCCCCGAGTCCTCATCCTGAGACCCCATTTCCTTCTTTCTGGGTGCTCTGTTTTATATTGCATTCTTGCCTGTATGACTTGGAGATCGTGTTGACAAATACCAGGGGGAGTTAACCAAGAGATAAACAGATACAGGCTCATCCAGGTCAGAAAAAGTATAGCAGTCACAAAATCGCCCTTTCTAACGAAAACATCAAGGAAATGGGTTTCCAATACCTGGTGAGAAGGGGTGTGTCCAGAGTGTGTATACTGAGCTCACTTGAGGGAACATCGAGAACACTATTCTGGGTGAGGAAACTGAGTAGGAAATGGAAGGAAGATGCTACTCTAATGTGTTCTGCCCTTAGACTGCATGGCAAACCTATGTTCTGACACTAAGTTGATTCCCTCAGTGCATGTGGGGGTTTTGGTTTTTTTTTTTTCCTAACTGATCGAGGTTCTTTATCAGCCCCTAAGGTAAATGAAGCAGAGGATTTGGATCTGGTCTACATCCAAAGAAAAGAGCTAAATTCCAAACTGGAGCACAAAGGTAATGATATAAGCATTTTAGAAAAAAAAAAAAAAAACAACAGTTCTCATCTCAAAGAGAATAAATGGAGTGACTATGTCCTAGGAAGACAGATCTCAGGTACCTCAAATATCATGTTCTAATGTAGAAGCAGTTTCCTAGAGTTTTATGGCAAAGAACAAAGAGCATCATAAATCAAATCATTTTTCAAATGCATTGATGAAAATACCAGGTTAATAGGTTCCAGAAAAGTGGAGGAGCCTCTGCTATAGACCCCAGATACTATCTGATGGCATTTTTAACTTTGGGACTTGTGGAAGCTAGGAGTCTGCTAAGTTAAATATACCCCAGAAAGCTTTACCCAATAGTCACAAAGATTTTAGGTCAGACATGGAGGTAGGCAATGAATGGCTATTAATAAAATTAGCTCAAAATAATTTGGCTCTCAATCTGCAGCATTCCAACCCCTTCTGCAATCACTGAAGTTCAAGTAGCCTTTGTAGAATGTTCTGTGTAGGTTTGGCTCCATTCTGAGAAACTCTCCATTCCAGTAACTACTGCTTTTTTTCTAAGCATTTTATAATTTAAAACAGTAGCGAGCTCGTGGGAAGGAACTGAAATGAGATCACCCTTCAGGAAGACCTTGTTAGGAGATGAGGCCCCGAAGCAGGAAAGAGATGGTTCCGTTCAGGAGAGAAACAGCACCATGGCCATCAGGAGCCCTAACAGGACCTTGAAGGAAGAGAGACAGCATTCTCTTTAAACCTGGAGAACAAAAGGGATTTCTGACTTTATAGGTTTGAGGCATCAGGGAGTTAGGCTTCATACCATGTGATCTAGCTTGGGCTGGCCTACATGCCAACATGGAGACAGGCACTAGATAGTACTATATAAACTCACCTTGTAGATATGAGTGGGACGGACTTCAAGAAGCTGAGCGTACTTTCTTATCAATCCCTGGAGAGAGAGAAAAGCAGCTGGAGAGTCTGGGCTCGATCATTCTCTCCAGTATCATCTTTCATTTGTTGAAATTACTGCTTTAATCATAAGCAACGAAGAGAAAACTCACTATATTATGACACAGTATGCTCCTTTTCCTGGGAAGACATGAATAAACAAACATTTATTCACTCTAGATGTGACACTAACAACAAGCCAAAGTAACCCTTCTATGCAAGTTGGTGGAACAATGGGTTTATGGGGCTTACTTTAAGGAAGTATGATGGAATGAAAAATTGCTTTCTCACTGAGAGGTCTCAACTCATGAGTAATGATATAAAAAAAAAAGCTGTATAATGGAGTCCTGCCTGTTTTTTAGGGCATGTCTTAGTGACTCCCAAGGGAGGGACTCAAGAGGGAGTAGATGTCTGGAATCTTAGGTGAGAGTTCTATGACCTTCTCCCACTACTAAGGACTGTTAATGACTCTGTTACCACTGCCTTAGACCTGGCCATCACGCCATCACTGTATTGTTCTGTTTATTTTGTTACCATGACTACAGGGCCAAATGCCCTGTAGGTTACCTCGGCATCGTTTCCTCTGTGATAAAAGACACTTCTATCAGGCTAAGAGGCAATCCCTTTACTCCTAACCACCAGTGTTTAAATAGTAGGTCATTTTAAAACATTTTTATTAGCATGTATTAATTGTACACAATAATGAGTATCACTATGACATTTTTATACATGCTTTTTGTTTTTTGTTTTGTTTTTCAAGACAGGGTTTCTCTGTATAGCCCTGGCTATCCTGGAACTCACTTCTGTAGACCAGGCTGGCCTCGAACTCAGAAATCCACCTGTCTCTGCCTCCCAAGTGCTGGGATCAAAGGCGTGCACCACCACCGCCCGGCTTTATACATGCTTATATTTTGGTCATTTTCATTCATATTACCCTTCCTTATGCCCCTCCCACTCTCACTGGTCCCTTTCCTCTTCCCAACTAGACTTCTCGTTTGACTTGTCACATCGTGATCATGGGCCTGCCCCTTTAAGAAACTGATCACCTTAAGGTGCTGGTCAGGCCAGATCTCTCAGCCACATCCCCCTATAGTTCTCCTGAGACAGAATAAGGAGGCTGTTCTGTGCCTATTGGCCCCTAGTATATATAGCCTTACCCAGGACCTGACTCTTTTCACTCCTTCATTTTTTTTTTAAGTCTCTGTGAGCCCTGTCCATCTTAGAACAGGTTCTGTAGACGAAGCTGGCTTCAAACTTAGAGATCTGCATGCCTTTGCCTCCTGAGTGCTAGACTAAAAGTATGTGCAACCACCACCTAGCTGCCATGTTCTTTGTCACATAGGCCATATTGAATTAAAAGATTCACGGTATGAAACTTCTCAACCAGTTCGAGGCCAGCCTGGTCTACAGAGTGAGTTCCAGGACAGCCAGGGCTACACAGAGAAACTCTGTCTCGAAAAACCAAAAAAAAACAAAAAAAAGAAGAACAAAAGAAAAAAAGGAAAGAAAAGAAAGAAAGAAACTTCTCACCAGTTCAGAAAAACTTATAAATGCTAGAATATGACAATCCTTTGTGCAGGAGTTGCTCTGAAGTCCTTTTCTCTTCTGGACATATCATCCTCATGTTCCCAGGGCAGCTGTATCTCTTTTCCTTAGGCTATCTCTTTACCTTAGGCTATCTCTCTTAATGAAGTGCCTCCCCAAGTTTTAAAAGAAAGCTGCTTTCCCTTTAAGATCCCCATCATATTTTCTCTGATATGAAATTCTGTCCCCCTTTAACGCTGTCCAATCTCAAAGCCAAACTCAACCTGTGTAAATTGGACAGTCATAGGTCTCAGTTTGATTTAGGATTCAGGCTCAGTTCCAGCACTCAGTATCTGTGGATCCTGAGTAAGTCACTTAGGAGTTTTAGATTTATTGAAGGTCCAATGACAGATATTTTTGAAAATCAAATTAAATGACATGATGTTTGTGGAGAAAAAAAACATTTGGAAAATTGAGGTGAGTCAAAAGAAACAAACAAACAAAACCAATGTATGGCCCTGCAAGATGGCTCAGAGGTAAAAAGTTCCTGCCATCAAGCCGAATGACCTGATTTTGATGTCCAGGAACCACATGGGAGAAGAACACAGGTGACTTCCACAGACTGTCCTATGACCTCCCCATGCATAGTTAAAACATAATTTTAAAAATTTTTAAGAAGCTGGGGCAGGGATTGCTGTACACATTTAATCTCAGCACTTGGGAGGCAGAGGAAAGTAGATCTCTGTGAGTTTGAGGCCAGTGTAGTCTACAGAGTTAGTTCCAGGACAGCTAAGGCTACACAGAATAACATTGTCTCAAAAAACAAACAAAAATACAACAAAACACTAAGAAAAGGATGGCCTACCATGATAGTACACACCTTTAATCCCAGCATTCTGGAGATGGTGGCAAGTGGAGCTCTGTAAATTGGCAACCATTCTGATCTATGTGGTGGTGAGTTTCAGTCAGTTGGGGATATACAGAGAAACCCTGGAGAGAAAGGAGGACTGCTTATCCTCTTTCTGTTCATTGATTCTTTGGCATGAGCAGCTGAATCCCTCACATGGAAGCGAGAGGCCAGCCTTAGTTTTAGATCAGAAGCCCCTCGGCCTTTGTCCTCTTTCAAGTGCTTTCTTGCCCTTATCTTACTTCATGAGTCAGCACACTCTTCTGTGGAAAGAGCCAGAGAGCAAACAGGTGAGGCCTTGGGAGCCATCTGGTCTCTGTAGCTCAAGGGTTCCTTTGTCCTTGTAGCTTAAGGGAATAAGATACCATATAAGTAAGCCACACGGCTTTACAAAAATAGACAGTAGGCCAAGGTGCTAGCTTGCAGACCTCTGCTATATGTAAAGGTAACCTGAGACACTGGTTCAAGTCCTGCACTGGCTGAGTCCACACATACTCCTTGGATACATCTGAACTACACAGCCATTCTGCTGTAACAAATAACAACAACAACAAAGTGAAACATGTTTGAAACCATCAGTAGGTCAGCCTATTTGATCCAATATTCCCCTGGCACATTTCTAACAAGAGTGTTGGTTGAAATCATGAAATGCCCACTGGAGTTTTACTAATGGAGGTGCCTAGGTGACAACGTGAAGCCAAAGCCATTGAAACAGTGAATTATTATGTACACTCCCAAAAGAAGGGAGACACACTGAGCAAGAGGAGGACCTAGTGAAAAACTAGGCTAAAGATCCTTAAGGTTTCAGTAGGAGTAAAGTCAAGGGAGATGGGGCAGGAGAGACCATATAAGATTGGATCATTTGAATAGTTCCAGAAGGCCTTAAGGCAGTGGCTCTCAACCTTTCACAGGGCTACGTATCAGATATCCTGCGTATCAGCTATGTACATTACAATTCATAACAATAGTAAGTTTATAAAGTAGCAACAAAATGATTTTATGGTTGATGGGGCCAGGGATCCCTGCGTCATGAGGAACTAACTGTATTAAAAGGTTGCAGAATTAGGAAGGTTGAGAGCCACTACTTTAGGGGCACAGGGGCTATCTATAACTATCTGGTTTGGAGGTGGTATAGAGCAGGGGAAATATTAGTTTGATGTGGATGTGCTGGTCCATTTTCTCTCACTATTGTGGAATACCTGAGCCTTGTAGAGAGGGGTGTGACTTAAATATCCTATGTATGGCTGAGCATCCATCCCATAGATCCTTGTTTTCCAAGCTTTGTTTTCAGTCCCTGGCTTGAGTTTTGTAAACAGCCTGTTTCATTCCCTGCATTGCTTCACTAGTGAGGGGCACTGTGCTCTTAACCACAGAGCTATCTTTCTAGCCCCTTTGGTTTTACTCCAAGATTACAACAGAATTTGTTGAGAATGCCTTTATAAGTGTAACTCAAAAATAGGATATGTAGAGGGATGATTCGGTGGGTTAAGCACAAGTGCTGTTCTTGCAGAGGACCCAGCTATTATTCCCATCCACGTGGTGGCTCACAATCATCTGTAACTCCAGTTCCAGGAGATATAGTGCCCTCTCCTTACCTCCATGGGCACCAGGCACACACATGGTGCACAAAGGTACCTGCAGGCAAAACACACATACAAATACAACTTTAAAGTTTAAAATTAGTGGATCTGGTTTAATCTATCCCTACAATAATTCCAGTTAATGTGATCTATATTCTACTTGCTAACCCATGACGTCTTCCAGTGCTCCAAATTAGCTACTTTTGTAATGCTCTTAATGGTTCTGAATGTATGTGTGTGTGTGTGGTTTTTTTTTTTTTTAAAGCAGATTTAAACATCTCCGTTGACTGCAGCTTTGATCTTGGGGTCTGTGATTGGAAACAGGATAGAGAAGATGATTTTGACTGGAATCCTGCTGATCGAGACAATGGTATTTATATTTCACTACCGCTTGTTCTGGGAGTAGAGAAGGCTGTTACTACTGGATGCTAATTCCTGTCCCTGCTTAGATCCTGGTTTTTCTCCATCTTTGGGAACCTTTGACCTTACAGGGTGACCTCTGATGGATGAGTAACTTGGTGTAGCATTGACTTCCTCCTCATCCTTCTCTTTCCCACACAACCCAGGAAATGTGTCCAATCGTGCCTCTTTTATATTTACCCTCTTCCTTCTGAGAGAGGGAGGAGAGGGTGGTGTGGGGTGAGGAGGTCTCCAAGATCTCCTTTTTTGCCAGCTTGCCAACCACAGTCCTCTACAGTTTTCATTTTTCATTTTGATAGAAAATAAATCTTTTAAAGATAATAAGACCTCTGTCTACACTGGAGTTATCGTGGAGTCCTCTCTATAGTGAGTATCAAAACCACTAGAAGTGTCAAGTTAATGACCTAAACTCAAGACTTGGCTTTTCTTTGTTATCTAAGGAATTCATTCTGACCACCTGGCCTTGGATTGTTCTCAACATTAGCTCTGAGCCATAAATGTCCTGGCTTTTGTAGTGGCTGCTTCAGTGCTGTTGATGGGCCCTGGCTCCCCCTTGGGTGGAGTACTTAGCTTGCAGACAGTATTTGGAACACATATTGAATCCTGCTCTCCTGAAGGCTGGACATGTAACTGGAACAACTGCTATATATCTCCAGACTCCAGTTCCTCACTAAGAGAATTATATTTTTTTTTGGGATGTACAGGCTCAGCCTTGAGTTAAAACATCTTGATGAATGGTCATGTTCATCCTCCTCTCTCTTTTTTTATCCAGTCCTGGACCCCAGCCCAAGGAATGGTGCTGCCCCCATTCTGAGTGGATTTCTCCACCCAACTGAAACTCAAATAATCCCACAGACATTCCAAAGGTTAATCTACTCTAGGCAATCTCCTACAGGCATACCCAGGGGCTTGTCTCACAGGCGATTCTAAACTGACAATCAATATTAACCACCACAGGTATGATGGTTACAAACTTTGGTGATGCTGTTATAGAAACAATATACCATCCCATTGAAAAACAACTCCTCGCACTTAGAGATTAATAAGGGATAAGGCTCTTTAATAATAGCACGTGTCTGGCTCTGGCTAATGCCTAAAGACTAGCTGGTCTTGAATAGAATATTTTGCTAATTTATATACACCTTCGGTTTAGCATTCCACACGTGCTATCATCCTTAAATTTCTTTCAGGTCCCAGCCTCAGATTATACTTTAAACAATGTAAATGAAGGAATGGAGACACGAGTGTGCAAGTCTGGCCACCAAGGCACATGGGAGATTTACACAGCAAAGATACTGCGTATTGCCAGAATGATTTTAAGTATATCAGTGTTGTTCTTTTTCAAATGATTGTTACTGAGAATCATATTGCCCACCTAGCAGAATTATGCTTTTTCTGGGGAAGAAGACTCACCAGTGTCTGGATCCAGTGAAGACTAAGGCAGCATCAGCCAGGGTCACAAAAGTGTCTCCAGGAATTGTACCAGGAGAATACTACACGCTATCCCCAGTGTTTTCCTCTCAGCTTTTATGGGAATACTTTCTTGTCAACTTCTTCAGACCATGCTGTATAAGAATTCTTTTATTGCCGGGTGGTGGTGGCGCATGTCTTTAATACCAGCACTTGGGAGGCAGAGGCAGGCTGACTTCTGAGTTTGAGGCCAGCCTGGTCTACAGAGTGAGTTCCAGGACAGCCAGGACTACACAAAGAAACCCTGTCTCGAAAAAACAAAAAAAAAAAAAAAAAAGAAAGAAAGAAAAAGAAAAAAAAAGAACTCAAGAATGATATGCTAACACATGGTGGTTGAGCCTCAAGAAATCATTAGGACACGATGGGTCTGGGGTATTTTAATGATACATTTCTGTCTGGATCCACCCAAGTAGATGGCCAAAATACCTGTGATGGCTAATATTGATTATCAACTTAATAAGATCTGGAATCACCTGACATGCCTAGGAAAGACTGTCTAGAGTGGATTAGCCTCGGGAATGTCAATGTCAGATTATCTAGCTTTACACTGATATGGGGAAATCGACTCAGAATGAGGTCTGCACCATTCCTTGGGCTGGGGTCCAGGACTGGATAAAAAGGAGAAAGGGAGCTGAGCATGAGCGTTCATCATTGCTTTCTGATAGTGAATGCGATGCAACTGGCAGCCTCAAGCTCCTGCTGCCACGCCTTCCATGGGCCATACACATCCTTGAACCCATGAGCCAAACTAAATCTTCCCTTAAGTTGTTTTTACTAGGGTGTTTTGTCTGAGCAACAGCACAAGTCAATCATACAATACATATTGATTGGGTGGAAAATGCATCCTAAGAGTCAACTAATCAAGGTGGAAATGTTCTCATTAGCTGTAAATCACCTTCAGTGCTTAGTGACTATTGCATTATATTCCTATTTTCTTATGGATGTAGAAAATTCCTCAGCTTTCTGTCCCTTAGATCTTGTCTCTATGTAGGAAAAGATGTCAACTCTCCAATCCACATGGTTCATGTTTGTATAACTGTTCTGTTGAAATGTAAAAGACCTCAGCACTTCCTATGGGAGATTGTTGTTCATTTTTCTAGCTAGTTTATGTATTATAGTCAGACCCTTTATCACCGCCTTTTGTTCTCTTAAAGATGTTGGTTACTATATGGCAGTCCCTGCACTGGCAGGGCACAAGAAGAATATTGGCCGATTGAAACTTCTCCTTCCCAACTTGACACCCCAAAGCCACTTCTGTTTGCTCTTTGATTACCGGCTGGCTGGAGACAAAGTAGGAAAACTTCGAGTGTTCGTGAAAAATAGCAACAATGCCCTGGCATGGGAAGAGACTAAAAATGAGGACGGAAGGTGGAAGACAGGAAAAATCCAGTTGTACCAAGGGATCGATACTACCAAAAGTGTAAGTGGGGAAGGAATTTCATGTCTACATTTTGCTTTTTCAGTGATTCAACAAACTATTTACTGATGTCTATAGGTCTCAGGAGTACAAAAACAGCAAGACTTGCCTAATCAGCATGACTAACGAGCCTTGTCTGGTTCTACAGAAATGGCCTGTTGGTGTGTCTGGCTCCTCTTACTAACTTCCATGAAAACCAGGCTATGCCTTCTTTAATATGTTTGAAAAAAAAACATCAAAAAGGTTTCTCATCCATTCTATGTGTGGAACTTAGTTCAATAAATGGTGTTAGATGTCCACACACAGCTTAGAACAGACAACACCAGACCCAACAGTTCCAAGGGGGGAGGGATTTATTTAGGAGATAGGACAAAGGTGGAGGGAGGGAAATAGAGGAAGATGGAAGAAGAGAGAGAGAGAGAGAGAGAGAGAGAGAGAGAGAGAGAGGAGAGAAGTGGAAGCCGGTCAGACCACGTGGAGAGAGGGGGAAGGAAGGGGGAGGGGCAAGGGGACAGAGAGAAGCTAGAGGCAAGAGAGGAACAAGAGATCAAGAGAGAGGAGGGGGCAAGCAGCCCCTTTTAGAGTGGCAGGCCTACCTGCTGTTGCCAGGTAACTGTGGGGAGGAGCATACCTGGGTGTTGCCAGATTATTGTGGAGGTGGAGTTTAGGCAGAATACTAACAAATGGCCGGGCGGTGGTGGCGCACTTCTTTAATCCCAGCACTTGGGAGGCAGAGGCAGGTGGATTTCTGAGTTCGAGGCCAGCCTGTTCTACAGAGTGAGTTCCAGGACAGCCAGGGCTATACAGAGAAACCCTGTCTCGAAAAACAAAACAAAACAAAACAAAAGAATACTAACAAATGGCAGTCAGAATATGATTATTTTAAGGTTGTTTTAAATGAATTGAAGGGATGGCTGTTTTCAGGAATTCTAAAGACCACTCTGGGGTGAGGTGGAGTGACCCTTTGGAAGGTCACATAGAAGTGATAAGAACTGTTACATTTACAGTTGCTGTCTATATACATTAAAATCAACAAGGAGAAAATGGGATAGAAGCATAGAGACCAGGAAAGACAAGACAGAAGCTTATAGTTTTCCTTCCCCAGTAGACCCCCAAGCAGATCTTAATCTTAATTTTCCCAACAACCACATGGTAAGACTCACAAAGTATTGCACACCAGGAAAGCTGACCCAGACCTTGGTATTCAAAGGGGTGTAGGGGTGTGTGTGTGTGTGATATGTGTGTACGTGTCTCTTTGTTAATGTGAAGGCCATAGTATAGCCACCTCAGGTATTATTCCTCTGGGCTGTCCACTTATTTCTTCAGACAAGCTTTGAACTTGCCAAGTATGGCAGAGCAGCTGACAAGCAAGCCTGGGGGGTCCACCTGCTTCTGTTTCCTCAGCACCTGCATTACAAGTGCACATCGCTATGCAGGGCTTTAAGAACATACATTCTGGGGATTGAACTCAGGTCCATCTGCTTACAAGGCAAGCACTTTATCACTGAGCTATCTCTCCAAGCCCTCAAGCTATTCATATGGGTCTGTCTGACAGGCGCAAGGCTGACCTTAGTTATTCGGCCTCCAGCATTCCCAGAGGCTATACTGATAATCACGCAACCCAAGGCCCCTATCATAAATAACATTCTGAACAAAAACCATCTGGCTTAGCTAAAGGTTACATGTAAACAAAAACACTCTTGACTAAGTAGTTTCAAGGGCTTGAAGGCTGACTCTCAGTAAGCAGTCAAGGGTAAAACCTTCTTTCAAATGTTGAGGTTTTTGGACAACTCAGACCTGCCTAAACTTTTACTGTAGAAATGGCTTTGATAAAGGAAAAGGAAACTCTTTTAAGAGGAAGTTGGTTAATGAATTTGGTAAAGAACAAATAGGATAAAAATGATGAAGAGTTTACTGAGTTTGGAGCACCTTGACAAGAGCTGTTTCTCGAAAGAAAAAGGTCAATAATCACACAATAAAAGAACAAAGAAGGGGCCCGAGTTGTTCAGTTGATAGAGGGATTGGCTCATGTGCACAAAACCCTAGGTTCAGTCCCTAGTACTGCATAAACCATGCGTGGTGGAGCATGCCTGTAATTACTGTACTCAGAGATAGATACAGGAGGAGAAGCAAGGCAAGAACATCCTTAGATGTATGATGGACATCTGTTTTCATATGAACATACGTGCGCGTACACACACAGACACAGATACACAGAGACACAGATACACAGGGACACAGATACACACAGACACAGATACACAG